GTCGGCGGAACTTTCATCCTCTCGGATGAGTTTGAGACCTTTCATCGACCTCGGAGGGATAATGCATGGATAGATTAGATTTTGCTCCCTTATGTGTGAGCTCCATCATAGAAATTGGATATTACTGTATTTTACTAAAGTGAAAGCAAAGGGGGCGGGTCCAAGAGCTGGAGTATTCTTTTGCATGGGAAAAATCAACGTACAACAAAGCCCGTACCTCAGGTTGTGTAGCTGTCCAAGCAACGTGCCATCAGAGATATTTATACACGAAGTGAGATCAAGTGTCGTCAAAGACAAAGCCATATCAGCCAGCACCACCAAATCGGCACTTGATATGAATGACCGTTGCAGAGCTAGCGATTCAAGTCTGAATGTCAAAGTAGGAAACTGGAGGTCGTGAAAAAAAATAGATTGACAAACTTCCATGCAACGTCCTTTTATTTTTCCAATCAAAAGCTTTTAAAAGGATTCCGATTCTTGAGGAAAAGGAATTGCCATTCAGACTACTTACTGTTTTCCACGTAGGAAGTGAAGATTTGTAATTTTCAGTGAACCACCGGCTGATATTGAGAGATCACGTAAAGATGGAGGAAGCAAAAGCAGCACCGTCTCATCGAGCACAAAATGATCGAATGTCCATCCTCGACCCTGGAAAGTCTTCGATGAATCAGGGATTTCTTTTTCAGATGGAAAATTGTAACGAACTACAGTAAACCCACAACAGCACAATTACATAGGTTGTGGGAAACTGTAAAGAATTACGGTAACTACAGTACCCTTACAGTGGCTACAGTAACATGAGTTGAAAGGCCTGGAAGAAAACGAGAACTTACAACTAGTAACATGTGTTGAAGGTCCTGGAAGAAAACGAAAACTTACAACTATTTCAAATCGTTTCAATCTTGGACTTTGACAAAGCAATTGGCGAAGAGCCAGTTGGACGATCTCGTTCACTTCCGGTGTAGAGCAGTACATCCTGCAGTTAGTTATGCTGAACTCCTGAAATAACTTACGTACTCAATGGGGATGCTGCTACGAAATATTGAGAGGCACAAAATCAAACATTTCTCGGGATTATTCTTTATTTATTTGATTTTCGTTTAGCCTTGTGAAGTGTTACGAAAACTTTTGTGGGGTCCTAGTACACGCTCTTTCCCCAATTTTTTGAGGCCCGAATATACGTGAAGCGTCAAGATTCCCTCAGAATATGAATAAGTTAACCAATAATTTCATTGAATAATAAAGGAGGAAGGAAAATTTGTGACGATATCGATCGAACTTGATTAAAAATTCACCTCTAATGTGGGTGGCAGTTGCGAAAATGCTTCCACTGCTGCGATAGTTATTATCATTCTGAAATGACTTTTACTTAGGTGAAATTATAAAAGAGCAAAGTTCTTTTCGTTGATCAATTTCGTTCATGTGGTACGCCCCACATTTGACATTCATTTAGAATTGTAGTAACGTTTTGAACGCGTGAATGTCCCATTCAATGGTGCAACTAGTCCACCAGTCGCTTGGCTTGGGCGAGTATCGATCTAGGGCTCGGTCCCCCTCCATGATTGTGTCCCACTTGCCACCTCCTTACCTCCGCTCTAGTGAATGGATGTTTACGATTCGTAGTTTGTTTATATTTACAATTTCCCTTTTATCAACATTAAGTGCACCAGTTTTTATGCAATTCAAAATCTACGCGTGATAATAAACTGGAAAGAGCACAATCAAATACCAGTCAAGCAAATCAACAACAGAAACGTACCGATCAATAACTATACTTTGCAGGGCAGTTGCGGTGGTGGCAAGTGCTTCAACGACAGATTTCGTTAGGTGATGTTCGCTCGCAAAAACAGAGTACTTTTCATTTTTCGATGTCACACGAAACGTAACTCGTTTGAGCCGACGGCTGCATAATCCTAAAGAAGATAGAGATGATTTAATTCCAATTTCCGATTTAATTCAAAAATAAAAAATAAAAAATCAGTAGGTCTGTAACACCGTACCAAAAGACTGGGTTAAAAATATAAAAAAGCGAAAAAAACAATAAATAGACTTGTAAAAGAGGCTCAAGTGCTAAAAAGTTGAAGGAGCTGCCTTGCTTACGGTTGTCGGATCAGGCAGTGAACTTGAAAAAGAAGTGAAAAAAAGAATGAAGTGATAATTTTGGAGAAAGATAGGTAGTTGAAAGTATATGTCGAGTTCCCCCTTCCCGCGGAAAATTCGCGCGATCTAAGAGAGCGATTTCTCGCGATTCTAATCTGTCTGAACAGTTCAGATCATTCTTCTTCCCCTACCAAGTCTGAAAGAACAAATAATGTGAGGTGGCCCTGCAAATTATCGTGCTGAATAGGCAGGGCCGTTGGGTACCTTAGAAAGAGCTAAATATGTTCGGATAGGCAATAGGGCCTTCCACTCTATCTGATGAACGATTATCCCATATAGCAGGACCGAAAAGAACGACAGTTCTGACTGAATCCTGATCTACATAATATTCTAGAAAGAAAAATCTCACTCAGTATACGTTCCAGATGATCAGGATCGGCGATGGCATTTTGAAAGTCTCGCTCGAAGTCGACATCAACGAGTTGACGTAGAGCTCGGTGAGCTAGACGACGCCACGTTCGACTCACACGTTCACATTTTCGAACCTCTCGGGGGGACAGGTAGGTGAATACCCTCGCCCATACATCTTCCATCTGAAAACGAAATCATAAGGAATAACCAACGCCTTCGAACAGATTTAAATGAATCGAAGAGCACACGACTGAACGACCTCACAATCGAAATCAGGCTTTCTATTCAAATGGATTTGGTTCAGTGCTATCAAAGCTTCCCCGGGTCAGCGAAGCCTCTGGCCGTATTTGTGTGCGCAATTGTTGGGGGCCGCTGGTAGTAACACCATCAAATCCAGGATGAGTGATCACAGCCATCTCAGTGGGTGTAATGGCCAGCACGCGGCCGAAAAGTGGCTGAAGAAAAGGTCCAATTACATTGGAATCCATTCTTCTCAAAGCACGAGCTGTCAGCGTGGGACCATTTTTACATGAAAGTATAAGTAGTTTGAAATATAATTGTAAAAAATTATACAGAATATATAGACTTGGAAAAAGGTACCGCCCATTTTTCGTGATTTTTAGTTTTTGTATGATCGCAATGTAGTAGCTCGACATTTATAGACTTTGGCATCTTATGTAGATGAAGCTCCGAAACAGTTCTGTCATTCGGTAGGGATTTGGAGATCAACTGAATGGAAACATTGAACTGTTTCAGGTTTACAAAAGGGATTCCAGGTATTTTACTCTGACTAGAGCTTATAAGCCTATCATTAGCCGTTATAAAACAAAAAAGTATGGAATAGGACTGACTGGGAAGGCGAGGCAACTTTATTGGAGCGCTGAATTGTTTCCCAGGTACTATGCAAATCTGAAAACCCTAGCTCTCTTTAGGCGTGGATTTCTCGGTAAGATTCGATTTCAAACTTGTGCTGGATGGCAAAAAGGGAGAGTGATCGTATAGAAAAGAACTGATGACCCGATGAATTCGGAATACCTCAGTATTTTAACCAGTACATACCTATTACACCTCAAACTCCCTCCTTCCCATTCGGAGTTTCAAAAAGATGGACGGGTAGGGCGCGTTTTAAAAGGAATTTCAAGGGATTGGCCGTAATGTACACTCCTTCTAATAATATGCTATCCTTGGCTGTTTAAAACCTAACAAAAGCTCGAATTCAGAAATATTAGGCAAAGGGAACACATACTCATTTACAGGTTACTGGTTTATGAGCAAAAATTCGGCTTTGGGCAGGACTCGAACACCACGTGTGCTTCTCGCCCGTACAGTAAACCTCGCTTGTCAAAAAGGGGTAGAGAGTCAAGTCCAAAAAGGCAAAGATGCGGGTTCGAGTCCTGTCACAGACCGAAAATTCACGCTCACCTCATTGACCTTGTGGTGGCTTACGCATCGTAAATTAAACCGAGAATAGTAAATAAACAAAAGATCAAGGGAACACAACATGCAACGGCAAGATCGAAGAATCCATCAGACTCTTCACAGACTTTATAAGCCTCTAATTCTCATAATAAGGAGAGTCAGTAAATCGAATTAATTATAATTCGAATTAATCAAGCAATGAAGAGAAACAGTGAGAGGCGTCGAAGAAATGTTGGATCTCGTCTGAGCAGAGCATGGTCGTTGGTGAAAGCCGTGGACGGCGTGAAGAAATTCAATTTGCTTGAAGAAGTCGAAGAAGCTTTGGAAAAATCACAATCCCATTACTAGTCAAGGGCGACATGGAAGTTGTAGCTAAAAACACTTTTAAGTAGAACCGGTTTGAACAAGAGGTGAAAGTAGCCCCAAGTGATGGAGGAAGGTCTTGTTTTCGTGGCTTTTCCGCATCACTGAAGCAGCTCTACTTCATAGCCAACTGCTCTAAAGAAATCGTGGGTTTTCCACCAAACTTGTAATGAACTGAAGTTTTTTGCCACTCTTCAATTCCCAGTTGAATGGCTGTTGGGTGTTTCCTCGTTCATTTTGTGGTTTTTGTTGTGATCACAGGTTTCGTAGACAACCGTAAACTACGTTGATCGATGGGAAATTCATTTCAATCAGACAAAGAAAACGGAAACGCTGTAATTGCGTAGGAAAAAGCCAAAAGGAAGACATAATGAATTTGAACACAACGTAATTGGCTTACAGTTAACCCTAAAAAAGCATGATCATTACCTCAGAAGATTTATCGGTAATGGTTAGAATACTGATTTACCCTTTAAAGACCATCAGCCAAGGTTGTTACCCATTTAGTCTCCCGAATGGGAGCTAAAAGCATGGCGCACTCCAAGACACTAGTTAACCATCCTTGCTTGCGCTTCGGGCTTTCAAAATAATAAAA